CCCCCCCAACTGCCTTTGCCCCAGCTGCAAATCTAGGAAGCTAAATCATGGAAAAACACTTACCTTGTCACCTTTAGCATGATATATACGTGCAATGAATAACAAATTTTCTATCCAGTCAGGTTTGATTTCATAAGCAGCTAGGAAGTCTTCCAACGCTTCTTCAAAGGTAGCTGAAGGAGGTGTACTGTAGAACACTGCGGCTGCCTGAGTGAAAGAAGCTTCATAAAAATGATTTTTGGACGATTAGTGATAAGCGGATACTGTACCTTCCGTTCTATCCAAGTAAGACTGGCAACGGAATGTGCAAATCGTCCACGCAGATGTAACAAAGCAAAGTCCTTAGCATCAACGTTCAAAGCTTTGTCTAGCAGCTCCTGCAAATCACTTATCTGTACTGATTGTGAGACTTCGCAGAGTTGATAAGCAGGCTCACCTTGAATTTTCCTCCTTCTTCGATTCTTTCCTTTGTTCCCAGGTAGTCCGTTGATTGTCCACTCATGATTGCTGCCCACTTCAAAGCATCGAAATCGGACTCATCGGCTTCGTGACCTTCCAATCCGTATTTCTTGCCTAAAATTGAGGCTTTGATAAACAAGGCACAACAATATTCACAGTGCGCAATGGCTCCTGTTGCGTACACATGGGTGCTCGAACGGCAAGGGGTGAAAGCCGCGGCCGAGCACTCCCGGACAAGAAGGGTCGCATCTGACACGAGTCGCTGGGTAAGCGGACATACTTGGACACGGTCAGAGGGATCTGCACTGCTAGAAACACGAATGTCGAAGAACGAGTTTTGGAAGATGAGGAGGAAGGTGGAATTGGGACGTTCGGTTTAAAGGGATCATACCAAACAAATTTGGGGAGAGAGAGGGAAGATAGACGGGTCGCGCTAAACGACCTAGCATTTTCCTTGATTTCTCCACTACACTTTGCTCAACCAGTTACCGTGGAATCGGCGTTTAAAAAGGCAAGCCAGCTTAACATGGACCACGTGATATTCGACTGGCACTTCGTCTTATTGTTAAAGGGTCATTTTGCTAGTTATCGTACATAACTGCCGATGCCTCCTTTGGAGATCTGTTCCTGTAAAGCTATCCAATAGCATGAGTTTCTTTACACTTTACAGGAGTACAGTCTAACCAAGGTGACATGTGCAATTCGCAAAATGCTCCCGCAGCCGAACAGCGCTCGGAGTTAGCGCAATTTAGAACGAGTAAAAAAGGTAAATCCCTCCCAAGACTTGAATCAAATCAACAGAAATCCTCAGCACTCAATCGTAACCTATTGCCGGCCGATAAGCTTATTCAACCGCTTAAGGTCTACATACCTTCGAAAATCAGTTCCTTCTTCTTTTCTTTGTCCTTAGTGCGACATGCGAGTTCGTGACAGAATTTAGCGAGTCGCCATAGGACCACAGACGATTTGTCGCCACCATCGTATCGCTACAATCGAATCATCGCTATATTTTCCTGATAGCAAAAACGGTAGTTTTAGCAGAGCCAAGCACTTATGCGATTTATCACTGATATCAACTACGGCTCTTATCAACGTTCTGGTTTTCGAGCATTGGTCACATTTCCAACGAACACTGATACAATAGACAAAGGCTGAGAAAAAATAGGTGTTTTACCTTTTTCAAGATTTCATATCCAGGCCGGACATTCTCGACACCGAAGTATTGGTCGACTTCAGCAAAAGACTGAAATCATAAAATTCAAAAGCATTTGAGATACAAAATACAGAACCAGTAGAAATCCTCATATATCCAGCAGCGAGCAACTAGGAAACCCCAGCACTCACATCTTTTTCTGCTCTGAACTGAAAACCAGCACTCCGTGGGTAGGTTCATTCATCTACCTATGTGATGGGGAAAGTGACCGTGTGACCAGTAACCAGCGACTGTACCAGCGTTCTGTCACAATGAAGGTTCTGGTTCTTCAGCAGTCTACTCGAAGTGGATCGCTCGCTGCTTATTCCTAGTGTTTCTTCTCCTACAGCTTTTCTCTTTTTTGACGGCGCCATTTTTACTTTTCAGTTTCTTCATCAAAGTCTGCGACATACCCTTAGTTTTCAATAACTTTCACTTATCTAGCTGATCAATTTTCCTGATAAATACCTCATAAAAGTCAGAGAGTCGCTGCTGAATACGTCGAAGAAAAAAAACTCGTGCTGTTCGGGGTGGAGAGACGCCCTAAACACTATCGTGCCGTCTACTCCAGAAAATAGGTTTCATAAAATTTAAAGGCATATGGTACGATAATTGGTACTTGGCCTTAAATGCTAGCAGGGTGCTTTCTAGCTCGGAAAATGACGAAAAGAACGAAGTAAGACGGTTGAAAACCTGCAGAGAAGCCTTCCTCCTACACGACTCACAAAGCAATTTCAGACGAGTTTCTCACACTTATCTTGTCAATAACCGCCACGGTAGGTATGGCTGCACGTATGCATTCACATTTCCACAGCACCGCAGCCGTTTCATATCACTCCCTTCGCTTCATATGTTACTTAGCAAACGAAGCAATCGAGCATCACGTACGGTCTCCATTTGTGACCGGGCAGGCGCGGTGGGCGTCCAGGTCTATGTTGCAGCTAGATAGGACCTTATAAGGGTAAGTATCTTGGAGAAGGCGCTACGCGGGCGCGGAATTTCCTTCCAGGCGTATTATTTCTACTCGTCTTAGGAATTCATCGTGTCGGCTGCCTCTAAAGTAAAAGTATTCAATCATCAGGTGATCGTCATTTGATTGTCCTTCCATCACAGAAAAGCCCCTCTGAGGAGTAGCTACCAGCCACTATGTTACAGGGCATGATGGTCGCGTGGGTGGAGTCAAACACTGTTTACCGACGCAACCCCCCACTTCAACATTTTAGAGGGA